TTGAGGATTGGGGTTTTTAAACGTCAATGATGTTAAGGCGAACTTTTATTAATAGTGCATACACCGATTTGAGATAACGTTTTATTTCTTTTTTTTTTAAGTTTCATTTACTAAGCGAGTTCATATACGAATTGTACATACATCTTACGCCCGATGTACCTAGGCACTGCATAACATGTACATACATAGTATATCGGTAGTACGAGGGATGTGTCTAGGCTACCAGGTATACGTACATATTGTGCATTACTCCTCACTACATAAGTGAGCCAAAGTCGCATTAGACATTTCCAATGCGGAGAAGTGTCAGGCCACAAACCCGAACGATGATCGACAACTATTTGACCTTTACATTGTATATTAGAATACGTTTTATTGGGATATGATGCCTATATGCATGTACGTGTGGCTTTTGTGTAACACGGAGTCGGCCTTCGCATTAGACTTTAATTTTTTAAAGACGGTAAATCGGTCGTAGTAGAGTTTGCTATCCTCTAGTATAAACTAACAGGTAACTATTTTAACTTACCCAATCTATTTTGCTTCATCTTCCCTTCCCTTCCTCCGATTTATTAAATTCTATCGGATAACACTTACATACCACGCACCCGCCAATTCCCCCCTCAGCCTTAATCCGTTTAGCCCTGTTCGTAAACTTAAACCATTTACGTACTTCCAACGATATTGCCACGCTTCCTACTCTACCTAATGTATACCATGATCCGCTAAACTTGATATCCATATATTTCTTTATACTAGCTTTCCTACATAGGGGAAAGGTACTACACATAAGTAGCTTATCTTTAGTGAGAAACATGTTATTAGTCCCTTATGCATCCTGCAGCCATGCACGTTATTACAAGCATCACCTTATTAGCTGATATCTAGCTAGGTATCCATCGAGGCACCCGCCACGTAAAGGATTGGACTGGGTTGGGTATGCCTCTGAATATCACTAGCAGCGCCACAGCCGTATGATGTGTTCGACACCGTTGCGAAAAGTTGCAGTTGTTTCCACACATGCATTACTTACCCAGGGTAGTTACTAAAAAGTAAAAGAAGACTTAACCCAATTCCCTTCTCGTGATAATTTAGAGGAGTTACTCTTACACCGAATCATATAAGTGCATCTTTTGGGCTACTGTACATAATTCTTCAACGGAGGCTTTGCTCCGGGCGGAGATTACTCTGTGCTACCAGCCGGTTCCAGAACTTCGAAAGAGATATCTAAATCTAAAATGAGTTTCGTAGGCTCGTTTTTACCTTGCTGCTGTAAGTGAAAACTGAGGACGCACTACAAAGTTGTACATAAGTACATAATGTACATAACATCTTTATTATTCAATACCGTAGGTTTGGTTTTACACGAACACCCGGTGGGTTGTGTTACCTGGTTACACGCCCAAGAGGTACGTACGTTACTTAAAGCGGTAAGGTTCCCAGTTATGCTGCTGGACAGGTACCCCCCGGAGGAAGTTCGCATGTGATCCGCTCCGTACAGTCCGTAAGATCTACAAGGGCGGTTACTAGGATGATATGCCGACGCCAGCCTGGTTGACTTATTTTGTTACACTACTCAGCCTCACTTTCCCGGTTTGGCATATATTTCCCTCTAATCCTTTTGTCCTCATGATTATCATGTACACCTCTGGGCTTCTTCGTGAGTGATCGTCCTTGCCACTATCCAAATACGCCCAAAACATCCACACTCTCTAATGACCAGCCGACATGAACCTCGACGCATTTGTCTGGTAGATCTTGGTGCTTGATTGTAGTAAAATACGAGCTCGATAGGTCTAATTTGGGAAGTGATCTACAAAACGGAGGTCTCCTGATACTTCACTACAATATATCGCTTTTGAAGTTTGGTGGATTGTCAACCTTCTAGCCAAGTTAATTAGATTCGTAAGCTCGCCTCGATGGGTAAGAAGATGCCCTAGGAGGCCTCGGAATATTCCATGGCGGCGCCTTAAGGTAAAATTAGATGGCCTTGGTGCTTCACTAGCCACCATTATCCGCCTTGCTTGCTGTGTTAGCTGGTTGGATCAGGAGCTTACAAGTGGCTATCTCTTCCCTTCGAAGCTTCTTAACCATTGTGGCGAGCTGTAGCGCAGACAACTAAGTGCTATCAGTTTATTCCGTCAGTTCATGCCGGCAGTCTAGTGTAAGTAGCTATCCAGGAACAATTCGATAGCGCGAAATGCGCTTCATTGGTGACTGGTTAAATACCTTACCTAGTGTATATAGGACTACTCACAGTGCCATCTTTAGCTATAGTATTGCTAGTAGAAAAACACCATAATTATCTTAACGTATGTACTATGTATCTCCAAAGTCTACTTGGGTTGCTATTTTCGGATTCTATTTAGAAAACATCCGATTTTCTTTTTCTTTTTCAAAGTAAAACATAAAAAACAAATCTCCTAAAGTCGACACCTTTGCTATTTCGTCATTCTCTCCATATTGCTAGCCTTAACTCCAAAGCCGCCTTGAGCGATGAGGCGGTTCTAACTTACTCCGGAAGGAAGCTCGAGCCGCGGAAATTAGCAAACACCCACGTGGAACCAACTGTGATTGGTATGTAAATCGCGGGGGAGGCTCAGACGAAGCACACTTACCTAGGTATACACAATGCAGGCTAAAACAAGCGCCTCAACTCCTGACGTGGATCTGACATGTAGATAAGGTGGCGTAAGACAACGGCTTTCCCGTTCGCCTAGGATATACCTGGGTGTTTGCGTTACTAACCGTCAGCCACAGGACCGTAACCTTGCTCTAGTCGACTAAGCTTTTAAAAGCCAAGCTGGCAGAAGTTAGAGCTCATCCAGTTAAGCTTATATCCCAGCAAAACAAGACTGCGCGGTCGGCCGCATTAGACGGCTCATTGTGGCGACTCAACGGTTGGTTTTCTATAGGGCTTTCGTAGAAAAATTGGTAAAGACCACTAACGAGATACACCCTCTATTGAGGCTAGCTAGCGGTTTCGCATAGGCGAGGCGAACTGATTACCTACCGTAGCCCCTACCTACTATGGTACTGGGATCTTCTTGGGTTAACCAAGTCATACCATTTAATCCCAGTTCGGACTACGGTCCGAAAAAGTTATATGAATAAGGTTGAGCCAATCCCGGCTCATGGTAAGCTACGTAAACGGCTAAGATAAGTTCGATCTTATGCGACCTAGACAAATCCCGACGTATCTTCTAGGTACCTAATGTAGGGCCGAAAAGGGCGACTTCGAACTAGACGAGTCTGGGGGTAAGCGGGAGCCAAAATAATTTACATACTTCATCGAACTTGGCTACCATTTAAAATAACATGTACTACTCGTAACGGCACTTTTATCAAATAAACAAAAACTACCAAAAATTTCAAATATTATTTTAAAGCTAAAGAGTATTTTGACGTTTTTGATTTTTAAATTTAGAAGATGTGAAGTGATATATGCCCTATTCGAATTCAAGCATTTGTTAACCAAGTTTAAACTGTGCAAATTATTTTAGCTGCCGCTTAAGGGGTATTGATTCGCAGGATTTCGGATGGCTCACCCATGCAGCTATGCTAATAAAAAAAAAAAAAAAAATCCCCGTGGCCACCTGACCCGCTAATACCGTCTTACCGAGTCGAAAATTCCCCCGTCCAAATGCGTGTTAAACGCCATTGTCTTAGACTTTACTCTTAACATCAACTTGAGTTGGCTCAACGCGTTCCAACCGGAGCGGTCCGCAGCGACAATCTCTAAATACGAGTAAAAGTCGGAGGACCGCCGGAGCCGAATAGCTCACGTGGATATGTCATGTGTTGTTGTCTCTGGGCGGGCAGTGGCATGACTTTCCCGGTATTCGGAAGTGGTCCGGTCAGCTGACATAACGGAATCACGGACCGCCAATCGCTACGCGGGATCCGCCGGCCACCTATCGTATGGACCCGAAAATGCATCGTAGCACCGAATCTCAACGACTCTTCTAGCCCTCGTATTTATGCGGCAGGTGCTGCGCCAATCAGTTCATAACCATATTTCATCTCATGCTTTTATTCGGCGCAGGTTATTTGAAACGCAGATCTCTAAGATATTTTTACATTAATACACTAAGACTCGGAGCCGGACCGGCCCCGGCTCTGCGAACGTAACTAGGTACCTACCTTGGTATCATGCATCGTGTAGAGTTGCAAATATCTAGGCGCTTATAGAACCAATTGATACTAGGAACTGCTGTACATATTTCTCCTCGTAAATTGATTGGGTTTTGAGACGTCTGTACATTTGAAGATCTTAATCAAATTAACTACAAAGGTATATTTTAGTAGAACTTTAAAGTGGATGTCTTGAAAGACAATGCTGTGCATACCTAAGGGAAAAGTAACGATAATATGGCATAGATGAATAAACACATTGCAATCAAAGGGTGTAGTGTATGAACTTGACACGGTTTTTAGTCCACAAATCTGGTACTGGGATATGTTCAATCAAAACGCAATAAAGAGCAGCTGTCTTACCTTATGAGGAAGGCCCCTCATCGATCGGACCAACATCAATTTTTTGTAATTTCTACGTCTTGTGCCCTGTTCGCACTTCGGGACATGGTAACCGAGCTGATGGAACTAGGTACTCGGGCAGGATAAGAAGGGACGAACAGATAGGGAACAAATAGGTCAAAGGCTAGTGAATATTTGACGAATATCTTCCAACGGGCAATACGCTATGAATTAGCATAAGCTGATGGGTATACGTTGGGTAGCTGAGAGTTTTATCTTGCCTGTCTTAATGTCTTGGACCTGAACGTTAGGTAACTGCAACAACGTTCATATTAATATGAAGACAAATATGGGTTGGAGCCATGGGTACCTAATGTTATATCATCACTGAAACTTAAGCATATTAATGCTTAAATGGCTAGACTAGGACTACTACGATAGCCAGTGCTATTAACGAGCCATAATGGAGTCTGAGCAAGCTACCCAATACTATAGCCGTCACACATTTTCGGTTTCGGCATATCGGTATCATGGAACTGGTTTGATCATACTCGAGAATGTCAGTAGTCAGTTATGATGTATTTAAACATCAAGGAACTCCGTTGCCTATGATATAGTACACGGTCGCTTGTAATCGGAGCACTGGAAATCCCTTAATCCTTCTTTAGTGGAAGAACCTTCTCCTCGATTCCGTCCTTGGTAATGATGACCACCTGCAGTGCATCACCGACTTCGATATGACGCTCAACCGCCGAGTCAAATGCATCCTTCACCAATATTTCCACCTCCTCCCTTGGTAGCGGCACGCGCTCTCGTTCCTGTAGGTCGTGCCCGATGCCGCTTCCAGGCACATATTGGTTCTTAAAGTTGACCTGATTGTCGAGGAAGGGCATGATTAGACTGCCTGCAGCACCGCCTGCTCGGCACTGCTCGCGCTCGTAGCTGCCGACGGGGTCGTAGCTGTATACGGCACCCTTGCCCTCCTCGTCGATTCCGCCCAGGATAGCATAGACGTAGTATGGGAAGAAACGCTTCTGGTACATGATGGTAGACAGGCGCTTGGCGCAGGCGTTGACGGACATGGGTTTGCCGTGACGGTATCGGTACATTTTGCAGATGGCGTCAAGTCGCTCCTTTAGCGCCTCGCCGTCTGCTGCGAACCCGACTACGGATAGTAGGATGTTTGCGTCGTCTTGCGAAGAGTTGGATCCACCGATCTTGAATACTTTGGGTGCGTACCGTGTGTTGATGCTGTAGCCTGACGTTAGACGGGTGTCGCCGGCCATGATGGTGAAGTCGGCGCCGGCGATGGCGAGGGTGGAACCGCCGTTGTCGGTGTATCTACGACGTAGCAAGTTAGGTAAAGCTTCTTAGCAGAGAGGGCTCGAGCGAGAAAAATCTTAGAGGGTTGGGATATCTTGGAATATCTTACGGGTTGAAACGGTGTTCCCGCAAACCATCGATGGCATCTTTAGGAACTTCGGCAAACGAGTAGTTGGGCCCGTTCAGGACGGGGTTCTGGCTGAACATGGCCATGTTGGTAATGTTGGTAATTGTCGTTGTCGTATTATCCGGATAGTACTATATAAATAAAGTTGGATGCAGGTGGTTCCGGCGTGGTGGATTGTGGTGATGGAAGGCTATCCGGGGAAGCTAGTTTAATGGGCTGAAGTTGAGCTTTGATGATGAGGTTCAAGGTTTCCATTCACGCGCGTCGAGCTTGCAGCCTTGCTGGCTGAGTTCTGGCTTAGCCCACTTTTGACAGGGGTAGCTCTTGATGACTAAGTCACTACACTAGGTAGCAATTGACTTAGCATTAGTGGGGGACCCACCTAATTTTTAGATAGGGGAATCAGCCATCAGCCATCTGCCATCATCAATTTAATTGTACCACTTTTGCGACAATCACTCCTTTTTGCCCAAACGTTGGTCTTATTGTAGTCCTGTGTAAACATTTCGTCTGTATCACACTCTCGTTTAGAAGCCACTGTACATGATCAGCGTTTGTTTTTTTCTTTTTAGATAATATCGTGCTCGAAAATGGCACGCAATATCCGTCAGCAGGCGTTACAGAAGATTGCTGTACTCTCGGCCACGAGTTCCACCACCTCTTTTGACAAATCCGACCTCGATCGATTATGTAGAGCTACAAACATCCGTGGGAGGGGAAAAGAAGGTGCCAATGGCTCAGCTAAGGGTTACCCGTCCTCGTTGGCTCGTGTTCCCATGGTAAAGTACCTCGGAATATAAAGAGACAAATGGTTGTCAGAGCAGCTAACTGAATATCTTAAGACTATACGTGAATTTGAAGTACTCGTTTCCCTCTGCAAAGCCGCACCGATGGTCCAGAGCAGCCAAAGTGCTCAGAAGCTAGCTAGCCAATTGATACCTTATATCCTCGAGGCACACGCTCAGACTTTTCTCCCCTCGCCCGCTTTCAGCAAGATCGAACCGTCCCCTATCGAAGCCTTAGCCTCACACGTCACCGCCGCCCTACTCTCACTAGGGAACAACTACGATGACTTACATGAGACCGTGTCTGATAATATCTGGGCCCTCCTGGCTGCAATGTCTACGACTGTACAGGGCACAGTTCCACTTAGACTAAACGGAGATGCTCAACCAAATTTAGATGATGCCATCCATATTGCGACTGTAGCTATTTCTTTGCTGGGGTTTCTTGATGCTGCTTCTGCTCAAGCTAATTTCTGGAGGAGTGGTGGAAGATTGGCGCTCATTAGGAAGATTAGCAACTTGCTCTCCGAATCCTTCTTAACTGCCGTTGATGCTGCATTTTCTACTATTCGGAATGCCCATATATCGGACCGTAACGCTAAGGACTGGAAGAGAATACTCCGGCATTACGCCAATCAGGGACGACCTTTAGGTTCTATGCTACTTCAGAGGAGCTTCATGTGGCTCTTAGTCTCTGCTACTTCGCTACTAATCGCGGATGTCAAGACTCTCAGAACCACCCATATCCTTGATTTATTCATGTCTAAGGATGGCATGTCGAAGCTAGGCTCTGCAAATGGTCCGGATCCCGATTTTCAGTCAATTGAGCTATATGCAAACATTGCGCAGCAGGAAATGGACCGCCTTGAAGACAGTGCTGACTTCATTGAGCTCGGTTCGTCTGCTCAGCAGAGATTAGCTTGCGCCGTCAAAGCTGCCGTAATCATTAGTTATTTAAACTGCTCTATACTATATGAAGATGCGGCGGACTCTGAGCTTCTTATGGGCTGGTTACAGGAATCTTTGGACAATCCAATGCAAATGGCGGACGAGATGTTAGCATCAACGGTGTTTCGTTCGATGGCTATACTTTCCAAAATCTCGCCGAACTTTGCTCCTACTGTGGTTCGATTACTGCCGCGTTTCATCGTGCGGACCACGTCCTCTAGCAGCATCGTTGCTACTGCGTCAAAATGTTTGGCGTTCACTTTACGTCTGCTGTCCCAAGATGCGGTTATTACTACGCTATACACCCTTGGAAACGTGCTAAGCCCAGATGCGGATCACAATGTTCCGAATGGAACTGCTAGCGAGCTCGGTGGGTTGTCAAGCGTGTACCAAGGCGGACAATCTACGGGCAGTGATATATCGCTCCAAATTCATGGGGACGAAGACACTGCATTAGTATACGCGAATATAGTCCAAGCGATATGCGGCATTGCAGAAGTGTGTGACGATGAGAAGATCACAGCTCTCGCACAGGCGATGCTCTTGCAAAAGTTAACAAAGGTCAACCAGTCGGTCGACTGTCACATTGTTACCGCAGCAAGTGTTTTGTCTCTAAATGGAGGACAGCTGGAGTTCAGATCTCTTCTTAGATTATATTCCAAGCTCTGCCATAATGCGTCTGCTGAAGATAACGCTATTATCCTTGATGCCGTAAGACTTACACTTATATCGGGTTACAATGGATCGCTAACGAACGTCTACAGGTTAAGAAGGCTCGTAATCACATATCGGAAAATGTGAAGCATGATTCTCCGCTATATGACATCTACTGGGACCACATACTAGAGGAATTGATCTCTAAGGGGGATATACACCAGTCCCAGCATATGAAGGAATCTGATGTCGAGTTTGCAGCCCGCGAAATTGCTCAACTCCTCCAACCTCTTGCAATACTAATGTCGAGGCATGAATTTGCTACCGAACTTTCTGGCCAAGATGATGATAGACATTCTCTGATTCGAGACGTCTGGTTTAATATCGTGGTACACGGTTTTACCTCTCTAACAGAGAGGGGCAGGGAGTATATTAACGAACTGCGTATCATGGCCATCCACTCACCACCCCTAGTGGCCGAACAACGGGGGGAACAGGTTGAGAGTGACATTGAGCTCAACACTGTCCTTCGTCGAGCCAACACTTCAGATCGGGAGGCAAAACAAAAGAGGCAGCTTACGGAACTTGTGCCCTCGAGAATCGCACAGATAAAGAGCCTAAGCTACAGGAAAGTCATGTTCTTGCATGCCGCGTATTTGGTTGAAAGTTTGAGGGCTGATTCCGGCGATTGTACTAAGACCCTTTCATACTTCTTGGAACCTAGCATGCGCAATGAAGATGTACGCTGTGTTATGGAAGGCATCACGGCCGTCGTGATGGAGAAATATTTGTTGAAGACTCTAGAAGCAAAGCTGCCGACTTTTTCGGCTCTCTATGCCGCCTCTCAACTCGCGGCAATTTTCTGCGGGTGTTGTCATCGGATTCAACGTGTTCAGCAAGCTGCGTTCTATTGTGCTGACAAGTTCGTTCATGAGATTCCATCATCTCTCTGTCAAAAATCGTCGCTGTTTGCTCTCCTTGAGCTGTTATCTCTTATGTGGATAAGTTGCCTTGAAGCCGAGACAGAGATGTATGATCCACGATCGGTATTTACATCTCGTTTAGGGAACGTTACTGTCGAACTTTCTGATGACTATACTTTCAGAAAGGCTACGCTTAATAACCTTTACATGAGAGCTAAATCATGGGTCTCGATGGCAGTCAATCTAGCTCCTGCCGATGTGAAGGGCTTGCTTCAGACCTACTTGTCTGAGTTTGAAGATGAGGGAGCGTATGGGCATATGTCGCTTGGCCGGTCATTTGCCGTGGAAATGGGCTCCTCAATCCCAGCAACGGATCAGAGATTAACTTCTCTGGATCCTGTTGGTCAGACCGCAATCAACACGGCATCTCATTTTGTTGCCCAATACACAACTCGCCAAGAATATAGGTATGGCGAAGCACTACCCAACCATGGCAAGGATTTAATAAGTGCCATGCCCATCACGCGACGAGATTCGTTCATCAGATCTGCCCCATCCGATCATGCTGATGCTATTACGGCGTTGGCTCACGTGGGATCCCGTCTTAGCGGCAAGAAGGCCACACCTCTCCGCGACGTGAGAGATATCCTCCGGCGAGCGGCAGCTCTACTCTGCCGCAGTGGGAGGGATGAGAGTGCTATTACACATTACCTTGTTAGCATTCCCTTCAAGATATTTACCAAAGAGTCCATAAATTTTGGCGTATCTCTTTGGCTGGGCGTCATAAACGAGAATCCCAGGATGGAGTCTCGAATACTTGCGGAGATCGCGCAGCAATGGGAAATCGCCATTCACAATAAACTTGGGCTGTTCAACCCTACTCTGATGTAAGATGACAGGCCCTGAGACGATGCGTATTTATACTAACCTTCTTAGGCACCCGGATCCGTTTTTCCTTAAGGAGGAATTCGCTCCAAGTGATAACGAAGGGCTTGCAAGGCGCCGACAGCAGGTACATAGTATGCTTGCGCCACATACTCGCCTGATACAATTCTTTAGCAGTCACTTCAATGCTACCCGATTGGGTAGCCCAGATATGCATAGAATCTTTATCCGTATGCTTGACTCGACACTCGATGCTCTGAAGAACGGTGTCTCTCACCCAATGGCTAGAGAGATTCGCCTAAGAATTATTCTCTTTAGTTTAAGAGTGCTAAGGGTGAGCACCGCTGTCCGCCCATTGGTTCAGTGGCGACTCAAAGACAAAATTCTATCTGCAGGATTGAGTTGGTTTAAGTTCGCACCAAAATGGTCCTTTGGCAGCAATATCCTTCAGTTGAAGACTGAAGTTCGCTTGATAACTGATGTCTTGAGTGCTCTCAAGACGGTCTCCTACGTCGGGGCCCAGGCCGTTGGCAACTTTAAGGCCCTAACCCAAAAAGAGACATTATTTCAAGTTCTACTTGAGAGTGAACAGACTAGATTAAATGTTTGGGTTCACCCACTTGGCGAAAACCATCACCGGCCACATCTAACGCACCGTACCGGGACGGCACTCGAAGTAGGTTTATGGCCATTTAAATTAATGAGGCATAGAAAGCTAATTCGCAAGTCTACACTCAAACCACTTGTTCGCATAGCATGGGCCGAACATCCTTCTCTAGCAATAGAGCTAGTCAACCGATTTTCGATCCCAGCCGTTCACAATGAGGTTCGCTGGCTGTTGTTAAATTTCCCTGCTAAGGCCATCTTAGAGCCCGAGGCTCTCCCCATATTATTGGGAGGCGAACTGCCATCTGATGTCGGATTCCAGCTTAAGGTATGAACCATATGGCCTTCCCGCCTTTCATATAATAACACACTAACCAATGTAGTACTTACTCTTCTGGGCTCCTGTAAACCCCGTCACAGCTGTTACCTACTTCTTGCCATCCTATCGAAACCATCCGTTCCTAATCCAGTATGCCATGAGAGCGCTGGAACACCACTCAGTCGATGTAACATTTTTCTATGTACCCCAAATTGTACAAGGTCTTCGATTTGATGCTCTTGGTTACGTGGAACGTTACATTATTGAAACAGCGCAGTTCTCTCAATTGTTTGCCCATCAGATCATCTGGAATATGAAGGCAAACTCTTATAAAGACGACGACGCTATGATCGTAAGTCTTACCATCTCAAAATCTGGTGACCTTGTACTAACATGCTATTAGCCCGATGCCATAAAGCCTGCTCTCGACAAGGTGATGGAAAAGATGATCAACAGCTTTTCTGACGAGGACCGCAATTTTTACGAGAGAGAGTTTACGTTCTTCGACGAGGTCACCAGCATATCTGGCAAGCTTAAGCCCCTAATTAAACGTGACAAGCCGGAGAAGAAGCAAAAGATCGAAGAAGAACTTCGAAAGATTAAAGTCGATGTTGGTGTTTACTTGCCCAGTAACCCTGATGGCGTTGTTATCGGCATTGACCGTAAATCTGGAAAACCGCTTCAATCACACGCGAAGGCGCCATTTATGGCTACATTCCGTATCCAAAAAGCGAAAGGTGGCGTGGAAGAAACAGAAGAAGTATCCCAAGAGATGAGCAAGACGGGCCAACCGCCGGCTGAAACTACAATCGAGGTCTGGCAAAGTGCTATCTTCAAGGTTGGTGATGACTGTCGACAAGATGTGTTGGCCTTACAGATGATTGCGGCGTTCCGCGGTATCTTCCATAGCGTCGGACTCGATGTTTACGTGTTCCCTTATCGTGTGACTGCCACTGCTCCAGGCTGCGGTGTTATCGACGTCTTGCCAAACTCGATTTCCCGAGATATGCTGGGCCGAGAAGCTGTTAACGGGCTGTACGATTACTTCATCAGCAAATACGGCAACGAAGATTCGCTCCGCTTCCAGCATGCGCGTAATAATTTCGTGAAAAGCATGGCCGCTTACAGCATCATATCTTTCCTCCTGCAGTTCAAGGACCGGCACAATGGTAACATCATGATCGACGACGCTGGTCATATCTTACACATAGACTTCGGGTTTTGTTTTGATATCGCTCCTGGCGGTGTGCGGTTCGAGCGTGCGCCCTTCAAGCTCACGGGTGAAATGCTGGCTGTGATGGGAGGCAGTACAGATCACCAGTCCTTCAAGTGGTTCGAGGAGCTGTGCGTGAAATCTTTCTTGGCGTGTCGTCCACATGCAGAGAAGCTGAGCCAGATTGTCTTACTCATGATGGATAGCGGGCTGCCATGCTTCAAGCCGGAGAGTGTCAAATTCTTCAAAGAGCGGTTCGTACTGGAGCGTACTGAGCGCGAGGCGGCCGACTTCGTGAGGGACCTGGTCAGGAGAAGTGCAGGCAGTTACAGTACCATGGTGTACGACCAGTTCCAGCTCATGACCAATGGTATTCCATACTAGTATAATAGATATAGATAGATATCCCGAGGGAGTTGGCGATCTGCGGAGGCGGCGAGCTCGTTTGTTCAGTTCTAACCGGCAATTATTGATAATTACGATATTATCCACTTGAACTTATTATAATACTAATAGAACAATCCTACTAAAAAAGAATATTCTAGAGCGCTTAGATATGTTCGCCGGCTGATCTATGGTGCGTTGAATGGCTTGTCGTGTTCACCGGTTCACAACTTATATATAATTACCTATGTAACTTACTGAGTATTTATTAAGAATCGTAGCTATAAATATCCAATTATGATACACAATATTGTAACCGTCTTTGTAGCATTATCTTAAATATGCGTATGCCTAGACTCGTCTGGACTTACTTGGGTAGCTTTCGGTTAAGGAAGCTTGTTTATAGATAAGCTAGAGCTCTCGAGCTAGAGGGTCTCCTACTCTATAGTGCATACCCTCGGTAGGGAGTATCAAGCACTGCACTACAACCTACACTTTGGTAGGTATTCTAAACCGCCTTATTAATGATTGATCAGAATGAAACCGTTGGGCTGTCGCAATACCCAATGGAGTATCACGAAATACATGGCTACGGGCTAAGCTTCTTCGACGTTACATTTAACCAATGGCTGAAATGGCTCAACTCAATATTTGGTAGTGCCAGCTTAAATATTGATGCGCGCATATAAACCGAGCTTCGTAGGCTTATCTCTGTAGTTACTATACGTTAGGTAGGTATTAACTATTGCATGTTGCAGCAATACTAAACCAACCGTGGACGTGTGGGCGTGGGCTTTTGCCTGTCAAACCTATCAAGGGTAGGCAGTCTTTTTATCTGAGACGGTAGACCGTAAGATATGCGAGACGTTGTATGTAGTCCGGATACGTGCAGCGAACCGCATACCAGACCCGTATCTATGTAGAAGATCATTGCCGGGACTAGCAGGAGTAGATCCGGAGGCAAGGACGCCACCATCAAGTGAAGTGAAGTTACGTCAGTTATGTATAGATCTTTTATTTCGAACGACTTGTGGATATCGTAGTTAAATATCGCTCCTATGGAAATAATTTGCTCGTTTGGAGAAACAAGGGGAGAAATGTGTGCAACTTGCTTGCAGTGACGGTTTAAAGGTTACGTAGGGCAGGCTGACCCCCATTCATTTTCGGTCTTTTACAAACTTAGGTAGATGGCAGGCAGGTATTGCACCTTGCTAGCGGGATGGTGCCGTGCTAGCTAACATGATGTTACGAATTTCTTAGCAAGTACCTATCAAGTATTACTAATGTATCTTTATCTGTAAGGAATTGGATATTCGGACCGGTTCTTGGCTGCGAACATCGTCACGGGCTGGAATTCGACGTGTTTGGGGAACTGTCTGGGCTGTTCTGTTCGTATCCAACCTGATTTGTATCATCCACAGTAACGGTACGTCAATTATGCTATTTTTACAAATATGGCAAGACAATGCAGTCATAATAAATAGCAACGGATACGTGAGATAGATATAAGACAATTCTTGACTAAGACGCAGTAAGATGCGTTACCAATACCAAAGGATACCATACAATACATGATGCTTATCAGTTTATGCAAGGTTTTTAATAAGGTTGAGTTCGAGCTAGGTACCTATGTAGTGCACCTAATTTAATGTTTCTTTCTTGCATACGTACCCATGTATCATGTATTCAGCACGTGTCGGAATCGTTGCTGGGTTTAATGGATTACCTACTCGTGCCACGCCCCACTTAATTCTGGTTTCGCAAGCGTGTACCAGTCTTAACTGGTGCTTACCACTATTATCCACACATCACCATTAT